ACCCCCGGGCCCTAGTCTGAGCCCCGGGGTAGCTGCAGAGAGTTTCAGGACCGTCTCCGCTCTGTCTGCGCCAGTCCTGGCTGTGGGACAGCCACGTCCGGGCCACATTTATCAAGTTGGTTTTCCCTGATCGCCTGGCCTCTTATGGAGGAGAGGGGACGGGGGTGGGGTGGAGCACTTCAGTTGTCCATTGTTAATCTGCATCTTAAGGAATGGGCCTGTGCTTGAGCCTCCTGGGGTAGAGCTGCCTGGGGGAAGGTGCCTTATGCTATGGATCCAAGCAGACACCAGGGCTTGGTTTCCCAGGATCCCCCGTGTCTGAGCTGGGTGCACCCTGTCTCCCCCCATACCTCTCACTTTCAAAGGGGAGAGCATTTCCGTGTCCCTCCCTGTTTTACACGGGACAGTATCAAGCGCCTGGTCCCTGCCTAGTGATATGGAAACAGTGGAGATAAAGAGAGGTTTCCGTCCGCAGCCTGGGGCACCTGGACAAGCAGATGGGGGCGGAGGGAGTGAACTGTTTCCCTACCTGTTAGCCATTTGCGTGGCCGAGGTTGGGGGCATCTTGCTGTAGGTATTCTCTCAGGCAAGCCTGGTTGTGTGTAAAAAAAAAACAAAGGCCTCATTTTTAGTTTTTTAAGTTGATGCCTGGGTATCGTCTTCCAACTTGAAGGTCAGTTACAGGGTTAAGTGTCATCGCCCTGGTTCTCAAGCTTTATTATGCACAAGAATCACCTGGAGAGCTTGTTAAAAACAGATTTCTGCCAAGGTCCTGCTCCAGACCCAGGGCACCAGCCTCTCCAGAGGGAGTGTCCCCTGAGAAAGCGTGCACACGCGCGCACACACACACACGCACACACACACACACAGAACTGAGGGTGAGGTGGTCTGCCTTAGGCCACTGTTTGAGGAACACTGCTCAGGGGAGGAAGGGTTTTCTCAGTGGTGTCGCCTTTCAGGTGTTCTCCCTAAGGGAGGAGGTGTAGGTGATCCTGTTTGTCACCTCACCTTGGAAGCCCTCGCCATTTCCCTATTTGACTCTGCATTGGTGCCAGTTATGTTTTTGGAACAGAGACAGTACATTGATATTATTTTTTTTTTAAATATTCTTGTCTAGCCCAGCCGGCATGGCTCAGTGGTTGAGCGTTGACCTATGAACCAGGAGGTCACGGTTTCCAGTCAGATACTCTTGTCTATTATACTTAATTTGAAGTACTTATGATCATTACTAGGACCCTCCCCCCCCCCCCCCCCCCA